AACGCGCTTGGTAATCTTCGAATAATTCTAATCTTATAATTCAATTTTCATACACACTTAACACCTACTACTAAGAGTACACGTAATCTCGTGCACAAACGTTCCTCAATAATAAACATGATAGCGTAACAAAAGGTTCAGGGCCATCAATTGTCAACATCATAGTAGAAATTTGAATAAAATAATCCACCAGCCAAAATGAAAGACGCGCTTGGTAGTATGCATGTCACGTTGCACATCATTCCACAGAGATCACATGTGATCACACGACGAACACATAGTCACCCCTTTATTGGATGCAATTGTGCTCTTGCCCTTTTTCCGAATGATATTATCAATTGTATGAATGGAAGAAATTATCAAGTCATTTGATCGTCTACCCATAAAGTGTACCTTTTGAGTAAATTGAAATGATTTATTGATAGTGATCTTCATATTCAACCGCATCCACCGACACGTATGGCGACTGTAGTTGATATTCTTCGTTGTACTCATCAGGGGATATCACGCCCCTCAATTGTCGCTGCCTGCCATATCTGCTTGAACCAAAATATCTGTTGTACATGTATTCCAACCCGGGGTGGTGCATGAAATCCCTGTTTCTTTTCTGTGCCTGTGCTTGTGCTTGTGCTGGTTGCTGCCGGGAACCATTCCATGACCTGTTGACGTTTCCGTTTCCGTTACCTCCCTTATCCTTTTTGCTTTTCTTCTTGCTTGACTTTCCGTAATAGAGATGAACGTGGTCGAAAGTCACACCATCGACGGTTTCTTCTTCGACTTCAATCACTGGGTAATTATAACTCTTTCCCTTTTTGCCAGCCTTTGCAGCCTTTCCACCCTTACCAGCCTTGCAGGACTTGCTATAGAATGAGCATGGAGCATTGCTTCCGAAGCGATAGACCATTGGGCCGAATCCAAGCACTTGGTCGATGGCCCGGATCTTTCCGTTGCAGGCGGTCACAGAGGCTTCGTTTCCGGCGGTTGGCGCGACAAAGTTTGGGAGCGGGCTCGACTGCCGAGGCGTCCTAACGTTCCCGGTTTGACCCAAGAGGGTGGTTCCATCTGCCGCGCATCGTGTCGAAGAGGATCTGGTCTTGCTATTGAGAGTCAGCAGAGAATCACGTCGGGCGCCGCAGGTAAGGTCGCTTGAGTCGTTCGAGACGTGGTATTGCAGCGTCTTGGTGATCTGGGGGATGCTCACGCCGGCTGTCATCCGAGCGTTAACGAAGGCCGCATTCGTCGGAGCAAATACAAAAAAATCAGAGGTACTTCTCCGGGAGAGGGTCTCGTCTAAATCGGTCCGAATCAAGAGATTGCAGAGGGTGCTGAAGGTGTCCGCCAGTGAAGGGTCGCAGGCAATTTCAGTGATTGACATCGTTGTCAGGTCGCCATTGGTGGGGGTCCCGTTAGCATCGCACACGGCTTCAATGCCGATTKGATTGCAAATCGCAACCAGGAAGAGAGCGAGGAGGAAGGCGTTCTTCATCTTTTTATTGTTTGTTGCTTGGTCAAGTTTTTCTTCAATTGTTTCGTTTCCCGTCTTGTTCGGACTTGGTACATGTATAATAGATGCTTTTGAATGCGGTACAATCCGCTGAGCATTAATTAGAGTTGATATCGTGATATCGATTGGATTAGTGCGATGACGCGTTCTATTACATCTATTTCTTGTCTTTTCGATTGTTGGGAAACAATGCCGTAGTCGGAAGATTGTGTGATGTATCGTGTAAATAGAGTTCATTCGTGCAGAAAAGGGATGGGAATCATTTCACACCCGGAATACTACGAGTAAACGAGTACTCATATATATAATGAGATCCTCAACAAAAAAATATTTTCAAGATTTGGGTATTTTTTATTTTTTCTGTACTACTACGTGTTTGTGATATGCTTCGGGGTCAGGACAAAACTTGAAGGGAGGCAAGGAATACTCGTACTTTCGTACTGCTGTATGTTACAGTATGTGGGTAGGTTACCGTACCGGTACGAACGTCCCAGGGTCACAAGCATTATTATTTGTTTTCTGTCTCTTTGGACTGGGTCCCGCTGAGACGGCGAAGAAAAATCCCACCTAGCGCGATCCACGATGTCATCGTCGACAATAATTTTTATCGAAGATTCCAACAACATTCAAAACTGATATCATCAATGGAAGATTTCAACGTAGAAATCCTTCATACGATATTGATACTCAGTACCACTTACCGTCTAATAATGGAAGACTAATGATAAAAAATGGAATTAGTAGGACTACGGTGATGATTTTTGTGAGGGGCAGTATTCGTGTCGTAATCATTACTTCAATTCGTATCATCTTCGGCATTCGTATTTTACTAAATAGAGAAGCACCCAACTCCTTCGTAACATAGTTAAACATTTCTCAAAATTGCGAGAAGGTCGCTGCTTGACAAAACATCCAACTCACGCAGTCGTACAGGTAGCATTACTACTACATCCTTGCTACAATCAAATACAAGAAAAACTTTTCTTGTAATTCCTCATCCGAGTGCCACGACATTTTCTTGATGGTATTTGTTGTCGCCGTTACTTTCGTAGACAAGTCACTTCTTTCTTGTCACCAAAAAAAACAAGTAGAAGATTCTTGAAAAGTTGTTTGAAGAATTTCGAATTTCAGCATTCGTCTACGAGTTGGTAATATTAGGTCATAGCTTATAATGTGAGACTACTACAATAGAACACAAATTTTGGTACTACTGTAGTTCTTTAATAGCATAAATCCCACTACTAACAACTGGTGCAATTGAACCTATTTACCGCACTTCTAAAATTGTGTTTGATCAACGACTTCTTTTTCCTGGCTTTAAAAAATCATCTGCTAGGTTCGCTAAAATCTTTGAAGGAGTACAAGGAATTTGGCTGCACGTCTGCTTTTTTATCATCAATCACGAACGTTAAGTAACTTTACCATTCGAACTAAAAAAATACTACCAAATGGTTGTAAATTGTATCAATTATTTGAATGGCGACACGTCTCAAAATTATCAATTATTATTTATTTTTACATTTCATTTCGATAATGTGTCATGATCCCCCAGGATCACACGTCTGATTGAAAAATACTATCGGTGAGGATAGAAACTGTAGCTCAGCGACAATTTTTTAGTTGGATGTAAGTAAGAACGTATGTAGCTTAATCTGGAATAAAATTGATCGAGTCATGATGGATGAACTCGTCGGAAAAATGGTCGACAATTTAAGACTGAACTTGGGTGGAATGCATTAAAGTTCTTTATCATCATACATTTGAGTTGCTCATTGATGCGAGGCATATAAATTTGAACTAAGTTAAAAAATTGAGCTTATTTTTGTTACCACTGAATATGCCTGATTATACCATTCTGTTTTCTTTGAATACCACTCTGTTTTCTAGTATCGTTCACTTACAGAAACTCAATTCCAGACCCAACGACTATTTTCTAAGTTCGTCGCCGATTTTTGTGCACGGGAACATACTAATTAAACAGTTAAACTACACGTCTCAATGATTCCTCAGTGTCCCAGGCCATTCTAATGGGGTTATATATTCGATCGTCTTTCTTCAATATCGTTTCTTTTTACTGTGATTCTCTGATGGTGTGTCATCGCATATTCTTAGTTCAGACCCGGCCAAAAAATATCTCGCGGTTTTCCTTCATCAAAAAATACCACTACACGATTAATCCGTCATTCAACGTCGAAGCAGAAGGTATTTTTGCAGATCGCCACATTATTTCATAACTGTACAATCACAACGAAAAGAGAGCGATATATTGGGACCGAGCGAATCAAACAGCAAACGTTGCAACTGACGAACAAAACAGAATACACTAGTTGTCCACAACAAAGAAATGCATAGACAGAACCGACACAGTTCTGCGTCAACTATTCGATCCTCCATTGACATGGCATTTTCAATCCACTCTCCAGAAGAAAAGTCATCACACAATGATCGAAACATCAGCAACAATAACAAGAGTGGCAAAGAATTCAAGGACTTCCTCAAAAACCTGCACCGACTCCTCGACGAACACAGTATCGGTAGCAGCGGCCAGCGTATCGTTTCGTGGAACTCCGACGGCCTGTCCTTTCAAATCCATGATTCACAAAAATTCGAACGGTTATTACTTCCCCTCTATTTTAGTACCGATCAAAAGTACCGCTTTGCCATCGAAAGAGGGTACGAGTCCTTTCTTGATCGGCTTCGAGACTATGGGTTTTATCGCATCACAAATGAGGGCATTTACAGGGACACTTTCAGTCACCCGTTGTTCATTCGAGGAAAAGAATGTTTGTCTCTGCGTATAGAAAGCCAACGAGAACAACAGTCTCAAATCTTACGGAGAAATAGCTGGCCAATGCCACCTCTACAGATCGCCAAAGTATTCGAATCAACAACGACGTCGGTGGGGATGGAGGAAGCAACGAACCCAAAACCCCAGTATAATCATTTTTCGAAGGAAGTGAGCCATCAAAGCCCTAAACCCAGAAAACTTGTTGTGCCCATCAAAGCTTTTGCTGCACAGTCAATCGACAAACCTCTAGCCTTTCGCCAATCGCTTCAGCGACGGAAGCGACCAACTTGGAACAACGCTTCAAAAAAATCAATTGGTAGAAGCAGCACCATCGACGACATCAATGAAAATGCTACCAGCAACATCATCGATAATGGGAACAATAGCTTTTGCGTCGAGACTAGCCTTACAAGTGATCTCTACTTTCATGGAAGCGAGGATACCGATGAAACAGTAATATCAACACCAGGTCATTCGAACGACAGCGTGAGTTTTAACACAGAGTCTCCTCTTCGATGGCAGCAACGTTCGGAACAGCGGCCGACAATAGACACCAATTCCAACAATGTAGAACCCTTGGACGTGAACTGTTGTCAAGAAGACGACCTGGGCTCAATTTTTGATGACGAAATTGCTGAGGCGTTGTTGTCGGACCTATGACGGAACACCGTGTAATCCAAAATAGAGCACCATTATGTAAAATTTTGCAAAGTACTTGTGACATCAATAAGAAACCAATATTTTGATCCATCGAGTTCAACAGCACAAAATCTAGAAGTAGAGATATCAAACTGCAGTTGCCATCATCGATATTTTTTAATTGTATATGTTATTGTTGATTGACTTCCAATTTCTTGCCATTAAACAATCTTAGATTATTGGTACATGCTGATCTGAAGTGTTGGGAAATGTGTGTACTATCCATCACATATCTCTGATATTAAGTTTGCAAAATTTTCACCCATTGCTGATTGCTGCTATTGCTACTACTTTTACTACTACTGGTAGCGTCCAGGAGAGCATTATGGACCTCTTCCACCTCATGGGAGGCAAATTTTGAGAATATGCACCTTGAGAAAAAATAAATGGCTTTGATGGGACTAAATTGAGGGTTATCTGCTTTCAGAAAGTTTTGGCTGTCTACGTTACCAGAATTTTCAAAAAAAATTGATTTGACTAATTGGAATGAAGATAATTGTCTATTTACTCCTTTCAAGGTTGGGGATATGTAAGGGGCAATTATTTCTGATGAGTCCTTTCAAACTGCTGCTTCCTTTGTAAAGACTTGTTCTTTTCATTGAAACCCATCCTGTACTAAATCTGCAATCATTCAACTATCCTAACAAAAATTTTGGTTGTCTCCACTACTATTAATCTCTTAATTAATTCTTTCTATTGTTACTGTGCATTGTAGGTACTGTGTATTGCAATATCATCTCTGCTGTCTTTAGAACCCCTAGTATATTCTACTGCCATGATGTTGGGAACTACTATAAGAATGGAAGAAATCAAAGTTGAAATGCTATAAATCTCAATTAACCACTCACATTGCAGTTAAACATGTTGCAGCAGGATTGGCAAGACATATCTCACAAAATTCAGAATGCTATTCTACTGTCTATTACTAATCTCAGAACCTCAATCATAGCCAAATGAAGTGATATCAATTTTCCTACTTGAATTACTACTAGTAGTAGAGAGCAATGTCATATTCATCAGTTCATCATTCTTCAACTGATTTCAGTCTAACAAAGGTTGTGAATGGGTGGGATTAAGTCTCCTTACTGAATCTAAATAACAGACAAGAAACGCCTTTAGTAGTAGCAAATGACCTTCCATGTATACTTATGTGTTCATCCTACTACCAATGGAAAGAAATTTAATTGTGTCTCATATGATGACAATGAAGAACAAGTAGAATGAAATAATTTGAGAAAATGATGTTTTGATGGGAAGCAACCTTGCCAACTTGGATGTAAAAAAGGTGCTGAATAACTCATGTTGACACATATTCTCACACCAGCTCTCTCCAAACTAAGGCCATCATGACAATAGTAGAGGAATATTGTACATATCAATGTTGAAGGTGCAGGCTATACCCACCTCACTGCTGCTCCAGAAATTGCATCATTTGGCTCTCTGCTACCATGATTGAGAATAAATTTGAACTTAGTACTAGCAGTATACTATATTACACATTATGAGAATCCATTTATTTTGTAGTAGTATAGAACGACAGTAGTCCAGAATACCAAAAAGATCTTTGAGAATAATATTCCTTGATTGAGAATTTATGGTTGCTGGAAAATAGTAGATTATAGATGTCTGGCAAAAAGAATTAGTGATGGTAGTAGTAAAATAAGTTGGCAAATGAATCTTTCTTTGGGGGTCCAATGCAATAACAAAAAAATAATTATTTGGTGTATTCTGTGGTGCAGTTGGCATAACTGGTGCGTAGTACTAGTAGGAACAAGTTGTGTTGGCTACAGGGCAATGGACTCCCCCAAAAACCCAAAAAGAACCTTGTCATTTGTTGTGTAGAATCCATGTAGGCCTCAGTACCCCAAAAATAGCAATTAAATTAGTACCTTGACAAAAAAACAGTTCTTTTCACCTTTGCACACACTTAGTTTGTCAGCAAGCCAATTTTGTCATCACTCATCATACTAATACAGTACTTGCAAAATGCAACTAAATTTCATTCTCATCATTGCCTCAAACCACTGCAAAAACAACACTGAATATGCCCTACTGAATATGCCCTACCCCCTAAATAGCTCACTGTTTGCAGAACCTCTGTTTTTTGCAACAGTAAACTATATAATGTGTATGTGGGTCCTTCATAGCACTGGTCAGAATCATTAACCTTTTAGTTTCATTCTAGCCATAGGTTCCTTATTAAAGTATATAGTACACAGTGCAATAATATTACTAAAAGCAGCAACAAGCAGTGTAACATTATTCAGAGCACCAGCTCTAAAAGCAGTAACAAACAGCATCAGTACTAGCAAGAAATAGCAGCAAAAGTGGATAATGTTGAGGATGTGGACCAGTGGTAAACCCAGGACGAAGGGTACTAAGCAGCAACAACCGCCTTACCCCCCAAAAAATGTTTAGAATAAGAGGAGGAGTCTCAGCAGCAAGCATCAGCAACTGGAAGATCTGGATCCAGCACCTGGCTGAGGACACAGTAGCGTTACTAGTAAAGCTTTTTTTACTGAAAAAACAAACTAAAACAGTATATGCCCAAGCAATATTTGGGTTCTCTAGTCACCCACTATAACTGCAGAAGAACATTCTGAATAGGTCTGATAAGAATATCATGATTAAGCTCTTATTCTTTGTTTTATACATCTGTTGTCCGTGTCTTTAAATGACTGGTGGGACCCTTTCACCCGGTAAAACAAAAATAATATGCTAAAATGGGACCTCTTTGAATAGTAGCTGTACCTCTTTTTCAATGCTTCAACACTTAATATGATGAAGACAACATATAATTAAAAAACACTTGTTGGTCGATTAATTTGAGACTTCTGGATCCCCTTCTTCTTATTGTAATGAAGTTGTTCCAGTATATTTGTGGAGGGGAAGTGTCCCCAATAGCTCTGTCTGGAGGGTGAGACAAACCTCATGCTGGTGTTTTTATTTTCTGACTAATAACTCATAACCTATCTTGGATTCGATTCACACATTAAGAAGGTATTTCGAGTACGAGTAGTTTTCACCATAAATTTTCTGTGTACAAGGGATTTTGATTCCCCTCGTTTCTCCAGTGATGGATTGTTTAAAACAAAACGATATCACTTCGGAATTACTGAAGAAAACTCCTGCGATCAGTTGTGTTGTCCCTAAAACCACCATACAAAATAACCTTTGACGAATAGAAGCACGGTTGTAACATCACGATGAGCAAAAAGCACAAGAAAAAGGCTCGTGCCATTGGACCCAAAGCTCACACGAGAAAAGAGGCAAAACAACGCAAACGCACCCGAGAGGCGATCAAGGCGAATCGAATCATAAGCAAACAAAAAGCAGGGGCTTCGGCACACGTCAAAAACTCTGCTGCAGGCAGCGAAGGAGACCCCAAAAGCAAAATGATCAATAGTAATTCTGGTGAAATGCAAACAAAGAAGAAAACAAAAAAAACAAAAGCGACGGATCCATAATAAGGAAAAGATCCAAAACCAACAGCTTTTAAGACGGATAACCAGAAAGGTGTCACCGAATGCCGCTGACAATTCACTCGGTTGTCTTTTGGTGCTCCGAATACATGCTATGTCACTCCTGATGTCAAAGAAAATAAACCAGGGGCGAACAAGGATGTTCGTCGCGTTTTGTTGGATTTCCATGCTTTCGGCGAAATATCTGTACAACGGGACAAGATGAGATGTAGTGTTTCTCCTGTGGAGGAGAAGGTACTTCGATCCATGGATTTCGGCACATGGATGTCAATGAATTCCGAAATAATGCGATGTGCATTGCTATGCTGGGATGACTGGATCCCGCACATGATTTTATGAATGGACCCTTTTGTTTGATGAACAACATTTAGAATGATTCAATGGGGGACGAATAGATATATGATATTTTTCATTGATAAAGGAAGAATATCTCGGAGAGAAATATATAATACAATTCAATGGAGTTTATATTGTCACCCCTGTCCAAATATATCGCCATTACCTAAGATCCTGGCAACTAGACCAAAAACGAGACTCCTCGTCATCGCCTTGTTGATCTTCGTCGTCGCCATCAAAAATGAAATCAGAGTATCGACTGTTCACTGGAGCGGTCCCATCAAATATATTGAAAGTGAATTGTTTATGTTCTGCTTGTCTTCGCTGTTCGCGGTTGCTAGAAGACGATGATGCTCTTGGCAATGGCTTATCGTTACTGCCCTTGACCTCTTCTGTTCTCTGCAGGCTGTTGTCCGATTCATTGCAATCTCCTTCTTCGATTACACTGTCAAGTTGCATCGAAGAGAAGCCGTGGCTCTCAGACGCCGTCACTGATCTAGCATTACCCGCGTTGTTCTGATCATCGATGTTACCTCCTTGCAATTTGGCATTATCCCGTATCCCGAAGCCTACTTCGACTTTCGTACCGTCGAGAACGACACCAGTAGTCGAAAAGTATCGGTATGCCAAGGCGTACCAAATGCCGCTCCCAGCGGTGATGGAGCTGGCAAGCAAGGATAGGAAAAAGCTTTTGTGATTTAAAAAGGCCCCCACCATGTGCTGGAGGATACCTGGAAGATAGTTGAAGTAAATGACACCAACATAAATGAAGGATTGTTTGGCCACTAGTTTCGGAGTGAGTCCATGATATGGTAGGGCAGAAATTCCGCGTCTTTTACGGTTGTGTTCACTACGAGCACTTAAAAGCGAGCGAATGCTTTTCATTGAGATGGCTTTCTCGGTATTGTTGCTAGCGTCGTTTTTGCTGGAATCACTTGGTTCTTGTTGTTCCATCTGATTTTTTGGTACTTGCTCTTGTCGCTCGTCATCGCGTTGTCGATTTTGATCCTGCTGGTGTTGCTGCCGTTGTTGTTGTCGATAGAGAAACAAGACCAAGGCCAACATCGCAATGGTCGGTACCACCAAGAACGTAACGGCCGGGATCCCAACGAAAATAGACATCACCTGCGAAATGTTTTGTGGGCCTCTCGTGCACTCGATGTCGGTCTCGTCCCCGCACCCAAATGGAATCGAGGCAATCCAGCAGATATGGAATCCGGAATGGTTGAAGCCCTGGATGCTAAGAATATAGATTGCTGAGCCCCATGCATAGCCGTTCGCAAGAATGTGGATGTATTTTTCGATCCACTGGTATTTTTTCGCGTCAAAGTTCGCATATGCTACGACCGCCCAGGCGTAGACCGACAGCCCGATAAAATAAGTAGGAGCAGCCATGCCCCCAATGTGGATAATGAAACCTTGGGCGGTGCAGGTGGCCGTTGTTCCTTTTGCACCCCAGACGCCTGGGGTTCCCTCCGGAACGGCGCTGACTCCATAAACAAACATTGGCCTGGTCAAAATTAGATACACCGATATCCCTGTATTTAGGTGTTTTGGTTGGAAAATGGAATGAGACACGAATGTAAATTTGGTGAGATTCGGTTTTGTTCGAGATAGGTTGAGGTATCAAACAGATAGACAGCAGGTCAAAATGCTTGGTGTCCGCATTGACATCGATTCAGTTTGATTTCGTTGAAAACGTTTACAACGACATGGCCACTTACCCATCATGAGGCGATGGTACACGTGTTCTTTCCGCCTCCACGCCCAATAGAAAATGTAGAAACCCGCCAGGATGGATAAGAAACCAAAAACCCGTCCCATGTAAACCAGAAAAATATCTTGATTCTTGGTGAAACCGTCCGTGGTGGCTACTGGTATGATGTCCTCCGACGGTGACATTGTTTCGTTGTTGCTTGCGTCGAGTAGGAATCTATAGTCACTTCCTGTTAGCAGAGCATCACCATCGTGCTCGAATGACAGTGCGTCTCCCAAAAAGTCGTAGCTGGAATCGTAAACCGCCATGGTTGAAGAAGTTCTCTTTCTTTAATTCACCGATGTAGCCCCGACTCTGGATCGGATCGAATCTGAACTCGTTCGGCAATGGCAGCAATCAACAACGACAATGAACAGATCAACGCAACTCGTTTGTTGACCGTTAACGAGATGCAATTTTCCTGTGTATATTTCTTCCAGGTCTGTTTCTTCCTTTTCGTTGTAGGCACGGCAATCGCTGTCGGCGAAATAAAGCGAGCGGAATAGGAACGGTACGGTGCGGATCGGATCTAATGCTTTCTCTTTTCGGCAGGTTGTGTGTGTGCTCCAATGCTCCGCGCCAAGTTCTTTGTTGTGTTACTTTCCGGGTTTTGCCAAGCCAGCTAGATAACGTGCACAATCAGCTGTGATTTTTTCGTCGTGTAATGTAAGTCCTTCTTTCTCTGATGCTTGATTTGGGTGATTTCTTCTTTCCTTCATCCACATACTCGAACGGTCGGCTAGGAAAAGTTTGTATCCACTAACCTGAGTTGAAACTAGATTGAAAATTCCGCAAGTTTCATTCCAAGGGGAAGTAGATGAATTTCTTATCCATACGGTTCTCGTACCGGTACTTTTTACCTTCTCCTCGAATCGATTCGGCGAGGGAGGAACTAACATTAGAGTCCTCGTAGTTTTGCAGAGCGAGCGTTGGTCCATGCAATCGGGTTCATTGTAGAAACGAAGTCGGTACCGGCAGAAATAAATCATAAATAACAATCAGCATCACAGTTAGATACGAATCCTGCATACAATAATGAAACTCGAATAATTACGAAGTTGAGTGATGCTTCGGAATTAGATCTATTGCCATATGTGGGGGGTACCTACCATACTATTGTGATTGGTGGGATCATTTTACTAAATACAGCAATCTCCTTTGCCTTCATCTTACCACGATGCATAATAAATATTACAATAGAACAAGAATGAGGAAAATCGAATCGAAACTCAATAAGTAATGGGTTTTGTTTGAAATGATTGAAAACAAAAGAATAGGATGGAATTCATTTAGTGTTCGATAACAATTGTGGGGGAGAAGGATTCGAAGGTGTTCGAACAAATAGTGCAAACGCGTCATGATAAAATATTTAGGGAAACCTGTAGCAGTCCCGTATGGGCATCTCATCTCTTTTGATAAAAATCGGTCGCAATGTAAACCGAAAAATCGGATTCATTGCATACGTAGTGGTACAAGTAATGGTGTTCAGTCCGAAGCAAAAATTTCTTTTCAAAAAAGGATACAACACCGTACATATGTTATGGTATTACTGTACGGTACAGTACAGTACTGTACCAACTTGCAGTCATTCACATACGGTATGTACATATCATACATACCATATTCAATACCATACCGCACGTCAGCACTACGGACTGTACGGTATTTGACATGCTGCAGTTCAAAATACTTCGTATGAAGTCCAGTTTTTCAATCCAGTTTTCAAATTGTTTTGATTTCGTTGTCTACCATACGGTAGTAGTTTGGTACCTGTACTGGAACCGTGCGGCTAATTATGTCTCCGCATGGCTCGATTCTTTTCGACTGAACACACTATCACCAGTACATCTTCGTCAACTCCCGACGACGACGACGACAACAACGGCAACGGCAACGGCAACGGCAACAACACAAAGGAATCCGCACCCACAACTCCCGAAGAAACCATGCATGCTGCCCACCGGAGGCACTCCGCAACCGCTGCTGCCGCGGCTCCGGGTGGTGGAAAGAAAGCACCCGCCGAGATCGGTGGTTCACCGCCCAGCCACCGCCGGCGCCGGACCGGAGCCTCCCGCAACGACCACCACGCCGACGGAAACCCCCGCCACCAATCCCCCGTGGAATCCTCCCCGAACAGCAAAACCAAACTCCCCCGGGGCTTCTGGTCCAGCCTAAAGCGGGCGGTAGGAAGCGGGGACAAGGGCCACCCGGCCGGTGCCAACGGCAGCACCGGCAGCGGCGGGGACACCCTCCTGCCCACGACGTACAGCGGGACCCACGGCTTGCACGGGGGGCGGGCCACGCAACACCGGATGCCGGTGATTCCCCTCTGTGGGAGCGGCAACGGGAACTCCTTCCTGATGGGGGGCGTCGACAAGCGCCGCTTCCGGCGACGGAGGTCCCTGGTCTATCGGGTCTTCTGGTCCAGCCCCCCCAGGAGGCTCTGCGTGGCCTTTTTCCTCCTGTACACCGCGGTCTACCACGTGCTCGTCCCCCTCGGGAACCTGTGCCTCTCCGGTCCGCCTCTGGCCGTGTGGTGGCACCTGCCCACGGCCGGTCCCAACGGGGAGGCGATCCTAGAACGCCTCGCTCCCCCGGGCGGGGGGCACCGGTGGTCCCTGCCGTTGGCGCGGCGGGGCCAGGGCCGTCTGGTGGAGGAGCGGGCCAGGCTGCGGGACGGCGGCAGCGGGTTCGGCCTCGAGCCCCGCGGGGCCCTCCTGGAAGCCATTGCCCCCGAGTGGCACCACCGGTGGAGAAAGGCCGTGGGGGACGGCGACGGCGGCCGAACGAGCTCGAACGACAACAACGACGACGGAGCGGACGGAGACGATGCCATGGAGGAGGCTCCGGTCGGGGACCACGGCGAGACGGATCGCGCCAAAGAAACAGAAACAGAAGCCAAAAACGAAAACGAGAACGAGGCCAAGAAAGACAACAGCGCTAACGAAGCTACTGCTCCACCGTTGAAGAAAATACGATACCACAAGGCCGTCGACAGCCCCAGGAGCACCAATGGAACCACCCGGAGACTTCTCGAGGTTGTGGGCGGTACCGCGGCGGAGCGAGACAGCGGAAAGCCTTCCGATTCGCCCTCCCTCCCGCTTCGGACCATCCACAACCAGCACGAGCTGGCCGGCCCGTACTCGTCGTGCGGGACCCACCAAGCCCGGCAAGCCACCACGCTGGTGGTCCAGACGAGCATCGACCGCATGTGGATCCTAAAGGAAACCTGTGCCCGCTGGTCCACCGACCCCATCGTCGCGGTGGTCTTTGTCCCCCACGCGTCGGCATACGGGGGGGGCAGCGGGAACGGCGAGTACGCGATGCTCACCGATCTGCTGGACCGGACCGAGAAGCAGCTCGCGCCCGCCGAAACGGACGAGTCCCCCTGCCCGCACCTCACGATCGTCCGGTACCTGGCGGACGCCGCCGAGAGCCGGAACGGCCGGTACCCGGTCAACCGGATGCGAAACGTCGGACTGGACCTGGTATCCACCAGCCACGTCATGGTCATCGACGTCGATTTCCTCCCGTCGAACGGCCTGGACCGGTTCCTGGGGGACTGGCTGGCCACTGGTCGGGGCGGAGAGAACCACCGCAGGCCCCCCGCCGTGGTGGTCCCGGCCTTTGAGCGCAGGGCGCCGAGCGGCTGCGAGGGCCGGGCCACCATCGCGGAGACCGCCTCCTGCCTGTCCAAGTTCCTGAGGGAGGACGGGGGCTTTCTGCCGAGGACCTTCGGCGAGCTCTCGGACTGCTACTCGGAGGAGGACTGCGTCGTCTTCCAGAGCGAGTTCAACTGGGACGGCCACTCGACGACGCGGTCGAGCGAATGGCTCCAGAGGAAGTGGTACGAACCGGACGGGGGCGATGAAACCGACGACAACAACAACGATGCCGACGCGGATGCGGATGGACACCGACGAGCCTTTCGCAAGATCCCCTGCTTTCACACGGCCCGGTACGAGCCCTACGTGGTGCTGGAATGGTGCCCCCTTGCGGGCGGCAACGCCGCGAACGATGCCTCCCGGCCGCTGGCCCCGTACTACGACGAGCGCTTCTACGGGTACGGAAAGAACAAGATCGAGCTGGTGAGCCACCTGCGGCGGTCGGGCTACGAATTCTCGGTCCTCCCCGAGGGCTTTATTGTCCACAACCCGCACCCCGAGTCCGCGACGAAGGAAACCTGGAAGCGAAACGGAAGCGGCGCCGAACCGAAGGACGGCCCCGGAACCACCGAGAAGCTGCACTCGGCCATGGACGCCCTCTACCGCGATTTCATGAAGGAGCTGGATGCCATGTACCGGGCGGACCGGGGGGACGCTCTGAAGCTCTGCCAGAAGGGGCACCGGTGAGCGGAGAGACACGCATTGAAATAAAACGCAACGCAATACAATACAATACATTACAACGCACCGTAGGCAGCGCGGCGATTTTGTTCGTGCTCCGGCGATGGATTCCTTCCTTCTCTTGCGGGAACAACGAATACTGTGCCTTGAAACGAGGATCATGCTCCCAATGTTCTGCTGGTTCGAACCCTGCGTGCCGTACATCCTTCGGCAACTATGCCGCAAACGAAGGAGACGGTGCATCTCGCATCCACATGTGTGTGGCGCATACATAGTGAGATTGTGATATTTTGAATACGGACGAGGGCATGGGTACGCTATCCCATGCCCCACCGTACGACTCATACGATCCCACAACATGGCGTTTGGAGTCCGCAACGCAACGCTATTTGAGAAACGTTGCGCTGCAACTAACTGTCCACAACGCCTTTTTTCGTCCTTGGGTTTGGCCCATGGGATATAGCATACCCACATATAGTATTCAGTAACTATGTGGATACGCTATTTCCCATGGGCCACTGTAGGACTCGTACGATCATGGTTTGATTTTTTCACCTGCGTTAGCACACGGAATGCGCCTAACATTGGTACGTACGAAGTATTTTACAATACTTCACAATACAAACATTACGGTGGCTGACTGCTATGCCCTCCTGCGCCTGATACCTAAGGGCTTTAATAAATTCAGCATGGCACCACGTCAATCATTAAAACTTTTACTAGTAGTACTATTTTACTGCAGTAATTTTTATGTTAATTCGGTTGCCAAGCATATTTTATGTTCGAAAAAATCGCATTTCTGAAAATATCAGTGCTTTCTTTTAGTTCTCTCTCAACTTTCGGAGGGATGGCATTCTCTACCGGTACGCACCCCAAAACTCGGTATTGATGTTAAGCTCACTCGCATACGGTAGGCCCGAGGAACGCGAAACTTACTCCTTAAAACTTGTGCAAGTACTAGTACCTGGTACTACAACAAGCTAGGTGCACAACAGGCTGTTGGTATCGAGCGCATCGCAATACAAATAACCATCGATTATTGGTTGTGCCCCTGGCTGGTCCCGGATTGAACTGTGTGGAGGTCGTCTCGGCTCCTTCTATACCGTACGTAAATATATCTTGCAAGTGCGCTGTTCTTTTCCGCATTGTTTGGCACGGTAACAGTAACTCTGCTGCCTTGACGTAGGATAACCAACCATCCAACAATCAAATTCAAGTCAGGCCATACCGTACCGTTCCATGCAATCAACCCGACCTCTGCACCGCGAAGGGAAACAAAAGAAAAAGAAACCAGCCAAAAATATCAGACAAAATGGTCATGCCCACAGACATCGACGTAATCTTTTACCTCCCTGAGAACGATCCATTCGCGGCGAATCCAGAGCAGCACAACAACGACAATGACGACCGCGACAACAACGATAGTCAAGAAAAGAAGCCGCTTTCCACTGGCAACCGGATCTTCCAGGAATGTCTAGAACAACACCTTGACGCTTATAATCATACGTCGGGGCTGAGCCAAGACGAGTTGGTGGAATGGCAGAAAGAGATTCGAAAACAAGTGCTGGAAACCTTCCACCAGCGGATCCACGACGCCACCGCTAACGGTCCATTGCAATTCCCCGGCCAGGCGCCATTGCCGACCGGAACCCAACAGCCGCAAACCTTGGAAGCCACACTACCCAAGGCCCAGTTTTACGTACACATCAAGCAGGGGGACACCTCGTGCTTCGCCAAGGTCTGCTTCAAGAACCGAATCGACGAAAAGATCGTAAGTGCGCACTTTATTTTGTTGCTGGGAATCGACTGGGAGCACCGAGCGTAACGTGTGTGGCGGGACATGGTCTGGTGATGGAGCGAAAGAAATGGAACGCGATTCTCGCACGGAGGCAGCCCGAAAAATGATGCGATGCTGTGCAAAGCACTCCATCGAAAGCAGAATTTCAACTGCGAAGAATTGCGAGTGCCAATAGCAATTCAAAAATCGATATTACATGGCCAACAAAATCATGTAAATGGGCAATGAACGAAACAAAAGAAAACGAAAAGAATCAAAGCACAGAAGCTTTGATCTTTTGATACCAGTTTCGAATACCTTTTATCGTCTAACCACCACATTTCCTTGTCGCAATCTTCGTTTTGCCACGATTCTATCCTTTCCCCTCAATATATCATAACGAAACGTGCCATCCAAATGAAACAAAACTCAAACACATCAAATCAAATCAAATCCATCTAGAAAGAGTCGTTTGAGCGGCTCAGCCGAAAGCAGAAACGCGATCCACTCCTGCAAAGATCGACAGAACGACTAGCCGCGGCCGCTAGTGCCGAAGAGGCACCGGCCAGTGTGGGTGGCAGCTCGGACAAAGGAAACAACCACGGTGCGAGTCAGGGTGCCACGAATGGATCCGATTCGGAAAACGCCGAGGAGGCTTCGGTCATAAAAAACACCACGAATGGGAACAGCTGCGAAAACAATGGCGTCAACGGGAGCGACTCGGAAGCTAGTAGCACCCAGAGTGCTACTGCCAGGACACGGGGACTGTCGCATCTTCCTGTGCCTGATATCGAGACTGAGCATCCAAGTGTTGTTCGGATCCAGGGAGACAAGGGCGACGAGACAAAACACACAAAAGCCAAGGATATCAGAAATACCGGTAGCAGCGGTTCTCACACCGGCGAATCTGCCCTCGAACCGATGCCCGAGATTACAAAGTCACCCTATGAGGGGAATCAATCCGCCGAGATCGACGAGGAACAACTGGACGAACTGAAAAAATTGATGGAGCCGTGGGGCCCCGATAGATGCCGGAATCCTATCCTCGACAAATACTATGGGGAACCCCTCGCTAGCACAATTTTTCGGACCCGGCTCGAAATTCCAAAGACGGGACTGCTGTACCACGCCAGTTGGATACGGGGGAAGATCGGGGATTCCAACCTGGGATGGATCCCAAAACCGCAGATGTTGCTGTGTCTGATGGAAGAAAAGTTCGGATCGGCGACGGATTCCACAGCTTCCTCTCTGGGGGGAAACAACACCGTACAGGCGGTGGCCAAAAAACTGGAATGCTCCCAGCTTGTCATCAGGGCCATGAAGGAATGGAACCTAAAGTTCGAGTTTCCCGAGCTCTACTCCAATAATGCAGAGAAGGAATTTGTTTTCCGAACGGATACCCTCGAGACCAAGACGAGGTGTTACAAGTGCGAGATTTTTGTGGCAAGGGTCTACGCTGCCGTGGTCGTGCTCAACCAGGAAGCCTTTCAGGCGGTCAAGCCGTCGCTAATGACCAAGGTCAGGGCATGCCTGGCCATCATGAACGAGCACGTCCAGGCCAACACGACGGAATTGGTCCGGATCGTTGCGAAAAAGCAAAAGTTTCGGGACGGAATCGCTGCGGCCGGTGCTGCTGCTGCTGCCGCCGCCGCTGCGACCACCCACGCGAGCCACCGGAGAAGAAAGCGCCGCCTCGCCGAAAGCACAAAGACCGCTGGCCCGGCGGCCGGGGCTCCACGCAAGAGAGCTGCCGTGGAAGAATCCGCCCTCGACGACCGGCCGCGAGAGAGGACACCGAAACGCCGGAGGACCTACACGATCGAGGGAACCTGCGAGGAGCGCGAGGAGATCCTCACGGCTTCCTATGCGATCATCCAGAAGGAGGTCGAAAAACTCCTAATGATGATGGAGCTCTTTCGCCAGCAGCTCCGGGACCGCCCGGAGGTCCTAAGTCGCGAGATCCAGGAAGGCCTCGAGCGGGAGAACTGCTAGCACCAATCTTCCGCGCAAAATCGGCAAGCGAGAATCGTTGATTTGCGACGAGAGCCACCGATAGGAGGAGCTCTGCAAACTCTTTGATAACGATACTATTGATCTAGTTCGAAAGCCTTTCGTTGATGCAATGCAAATAGAATGCTTGTGCTATTTATGTACTGAAATAGAGTTGCTTGCCTGTTGCAATCGATCGATCGATTCAGCTAGTTTGTGTAATGTGTTTGATGCTGCGAGTCAAAACGAAAAGGAAGCCCAAAACCCGATAGCTAGTAGAGGGATAGATCCATCGTTTGGTGGTGGATCCCGATCGTCCCGTGTGTTTTTGGAGCGTCGTGCCGCGTGGGTCCACCGGCACCGTGTCACGCCTCGGTCTCGGTTGGGGTCGAGGGCACGAGGACCCCCCGCATCTGCCACGAGGCCATGTCCCCGGTGTGGGGAAAGGTGCTGTTGGCCCGCTTGATGCTCAGGAGGGTCGTGTCCATCGACAGGAACCGCGGCGCCGGCAGCAGTGGGGGTCCGTCCCGGGAGGTCTCGCGGCCGTGCTTGCGCAGGGGGGAGGTCGTGGTGGAGGTGGTGGTGCTGCTGCGGCTCTGGTCGTGGCTCCACAGGCACGGGGGGATCGCCAGGAATCCCTCCTCGTCGTAGGCACCGTCATTTCCGCCGCTTCCCCCTCTCCCGGCGATGGGTTCCACGGAGCACAGCAGCTCGCCGGTGTCGGCGTTGTAGAGCTCCATCGAGAGGCACATGGGGGCGTGGCAGTGGGGGGCGGCATAGATCAGCTCGATCCCGGAAAGGCCCTCCCCCCCGGCAAAGTCCCGGACCCTCCACCGGGAGGTGATGGTGTGGACGCACTCCGAGGGGGGAGGCCCTTGGCCAAGCTTGCCCTCCCGGCAGCCCGGGACGTCGTACTCGTCCCCCCCGGCCTCGGTCTGCCAGTAAAACCGGGCCAGCTCGCGGTGGGAGGGGGGAGCGGCCCGAAGAATGGCCTCCTCCGCGGCCCTCCCGGAGGAGGCGGCCGGAGGGTCTTCCCGCCGCGGCCCGGAGAGGTAGTCCTGGTAGTAGAAGCGAAACTTGAGGCGGTACTCCAGGACCCTGTCCCCCCAGGGGATTTCCTGGCTCGCATCGAGGAGGTGCTTGCCGTGGACGCAGCAGCGGAGGCCCCCCCGGTAGGTCCGGACCTCGCAGGTGGGGTTCTTTTGCCGGACCAGGTCCCCGTAGGGTTCCCCCAGGCAGTGCTTGCCAAAGGGTTTGCCGCCGATGCTCCCCTTGATGCCGTCCCGGACGACCTCCAAGCGGAGGCCGACCCTGGCAAAGACGAGGGGACCGGGCGACTGGTGCCCGCAGTGCCTCCCGAAGGTCCCGCCGCTGCCCGGACACCCGGTGGCCAGCACGATCTTGACGGGGTCCGGGGGGGGAGCCCCCGCCCCTGGGTCCGCCGCAAAGGAAAAGTAGTCGGGTGTGGGGCCGCGAAAGGGCCGGCTCAGGCGGACCACCCGGCGCTTCCGCTTCCTCTTGCGGTGCGTGCTATTTTTGTTCGGGGACGGTGTTTCCCCGCCGTGCCGGGGCTGGTGTTCTTCGTCGTCGCCGTCGCCGCCGCCGAAGTCCTCGATGCGGTTGGAGCGGACGATGAGCAGCTCCTTCTCGCCGGGGCCCGCCCCGAGAATCCTTCCCGGGCCGTGGTAGTCCAGCCTCCGCTCCACCACCCGGCTGGGACCCTCCGGGGTGGCCGGGAGGACGACAATGGCGTAGGGGCCGCCCCCGGTGCACTCGTCGGCCTCCATCCGGACGCACATGCTGTCGGCGCCAAAGGCGACGGCAAACCACCGGTCGCCGGTTTCCTCCTCCTCGTCGCCTTCGTACCAAACGGGACCCTCCAGGGCAATCTCCGCCGTGCCCGATTCCGCGTGGAGCACCACGGTGGCGTTGAAGAGGCTCCCCAGGGGGGTCGTTCCCACCACCGCACCGGAGGGTTCTCCTCCGGCAGCGCTCTGTTCCCGCTGGAAAGAGGTTGTGGATCCGGTGGGACTCCCGGTGGGTTCCTCCCAGGCCGCGTCGAGGCTCCCGTCGGCCCGGAGCAGGGCCGTGCACCGGCCGCGTTCCTTGCCGGGCCGGGGGATCTCCCGGGTGGTGGCGTTGGTGCTGGGGAGGAGCGACAGGGCCGCGGAAAAACACTCGGTCGCGTTGCCCGGTGGCTCGGGGCTTTCCCCTTCGTTGTCGTCGTCGTCGTCGTGCAGGTCCCTCAGCGCGTAGGACATGCCCCAGGACCTTTCCAGCCGGTCGCTGCAGGGGCACTCCAGGAGCGGGTTGTACCCGGCCGCTGCCAGGTCGCGGATCCCGGAGCTCTTGGGCAGGAAGGCGTCGACCGGACCGTTGGGTGGGACGAACCGGCCGCTCGGCATGGTGTCCCGGAACCAGGTGTCGATCTGCATCGGCGTCACCGAAAAGGACACCGGATTGCGGATCAGCTGGGCGTACCCCCTCGGGTAGACGTGGCAGGACTTGCGCATCTCCCCCCCGTTGCCCTCGGAGAAAAAGAGCCAGGACCGGCCGTCCCGGAGGGCATCGGCATCAACACCGGGTGCCAGGGCTTGCTCCGGGATCCACACCGGGCCGCCGGTGGCGTGGCCCAGGCCCAGGCGCTCGGCGGCCCCGATCGCCCCGTGGCCGTCGAGCTCGACCATCCGGGGGGCGTCGTTTGCCTCGCGGAATGTCGCGTTGCCGGAGGGTTCTTTGGCGTCGCCTCCTCTGCTTCCCAGGAGAAAGGCCATGTAGTGGTGGTTGTACGCCCAGGTAATCGGCACCGGCACCTCCCTTCCCGTGGAGGGATCGATCCGGACCTGGTCCACCTCGTATCCCACCACGGCCATGGTGTCGGTAGCAGGTTCGTCTCTTGCCTCTGGCATTGCGCCTGAACTTCTCTCTGCCTTTGTGCCGGCCCCTTTCCCTCCGTACCGGTCGACGACGGGCCGCGGGAGGGGGATCGTCCCGTGGCTCGTCCAGTGGACCTGGGAATACACCGACCGGATGGGCCTCGAGTAGACGTCAAAGAAGCGGACGGGGTTCGCTGGCTCTTGTTTTTGTTGTTGTTGATGTTGTGCGTTCCCCTTCCCTTGCCCATTGCCCCCCCCTCCTCCGAGGACCCACCGCGGATCGAAGGAGAAGAACCCCCCCCCGGCGTTGGCGGCGCCGTACGGGGGCCCCCCGGGGTTCATCCACTCGTCCCCCGTGGGCGTCTCGGAGGAGGGGTCCCCCGCCCGTTCCGCGGGGATGCCTTCCGCCAGCGAAACCGAAAGGGCCGGCAGGGCTGCCGCCACCGCCAGCAGCCGCAGTTGGATCCGACGACGCCGCCGAAACCCTTCCGGTGCCCTTCCCCCGGCCCGCGGTCGTTCCGATCGGGACGCCGGGACAAGCGTTGCGGAAGCACAGGGGGGAAAAGGGGGAGGACCGTCCATGGCTGGTCTCGGGATGGTTGCGGGATTCCGATCTGGTTTTTCCTGGTCTAGAATGGTTGCAAATTCGTTTCGTGGATTCAATGGCCGCTATAGTTTAGAGTCAGGTTTGATCCTTTCGTCGTCCATGCATCGAACAACCCAAAAAGCAAGCCGCTGTGGTCGTCGTGGTAAGTGGCAGCGATAGGTAGCGAATGGGTGTGGTTTGGTGTCGTGTAAAATGAAAGCGACGATCGTTTTGTTTCGACGGAACAAAAGAGAGTCGAGCGGTACGTACGAGTAGCGTACAATCTCCTACTTCTTCAGCTCGCATTCAAATCTACGTGATGCAAAATTCTGCTGTCACGATGTGAGGCGGTGTCAAGAACTATCAACAGTCAACAACCCACAAGAGCTAGAGGGATTTTCGAATTTCGGCATCGCATCTCGAGGGAAGAAGGTGTAACTCGGGGCTTCTCGCTTCTCGTACATTTAGAGCGTCGATACCATAGATATAAAATGTACGGTACGAGTACGCGTACATACAGAACCACCACATGCATAATGTTCGACTCGATTGATTCAAAAAATGACGAATCGCGCCACAAAACGCTGACCGCGCCAATAGTGGAGGGTATCACAGTCACAGAACATCGGACCCTGTAAGGTAGGCTTTGGTTGGCACATATCGTACTACCGTGGAGCACGAGTACGAGTACGAGTTTTGTACGAAATCCAACCCGCGAGGCACATCCTGTCACATCCCTTCCAACACAGAAAAAGGAAAACCAAAGGAGCTGCACGGCGCAACACACACAACCTCTGACCTTCCAGAACAGAAGACACCACGAAACCACGACACCCCCAGAGCACGAGACCCCATGGCGAAGACCAACGAGGAAACGGAAACGGAACCGGAACCGGCCCCTGCCGGCAACGAAAAGGCCGGCGGCGAAGCTCCCGAAGCGGCAGCCGCCACCGCGGGCGAAGAAAGCAGCGGACCGGATGCGGAGAATTCCGGTGATCCACAACCGGAGCGAGGCGAATCCCCGGGGGTTGCCTCGGAGATTCCGCAAGGGACACCGAAACGAGATGCAGAAGAGAACGAGCCTCCGGCAAAGGGCGGCAGCAACAACGACAATAACGACAAGGACAGCAACGACAAGGACAACGATAGCAACGACAAGGACAACAGCAACAGCAACAACGACAACAACGACGACAACCACCAAAACGATGCCGAGAACGACGCGGCTCCGGTGGCCGTGCGGCCCCTGAAACGGGCGCGAACGGCCTACTTTATTTTTGCCGACGAGCAGCGGCCGTCGATCCAAAAGGAGGTGAGTGACTGAGTGAGTGACTGAGTGTGCCCGGCCTCTGTCGACCGTCGCATGGACCTAGGGGAGGGTCGGATGCCACGCGACGCAATGGGGGGGGATCGATCCGTCTGTGCTGGGTTCCAGCGGATCCTTCTCCGCGTGCACCTTGTCTCGCTTTGTTGCTATTGCTAGAATCGATTCCATTGTGTCCTTCGTGCCACACTCAACCCCGCGGGCTTGTTTTTCTTTGATTCCCACTGCACAACACACGATCCGATCTGTTGGAATCCATCCGATTGCTCCGCGTCGCATCCCATCGTTCCTTGGTGCGGTGTGCCTTGCCACTGCCACTGCCGCTGCCACTGCGCCTGCGACTGCCATCGACCCCTCCCAACAGCACCCCGGCGAGACCGTCGCGGTCCAGGCCAAGCGGATCGGCGCCCGCTGGAAGTCCCTCCCCGACGCCGAGAAGGACCGCTTCCGGGCCCTGGCGGCAGCCGAGAAGGAGCGCGTTTTGGCGAGCCTCCCGGAGGGTGCCCCCGGCCCGGTCGGGGACGCGGGGAGTCCCTCCGATTCCCTCGTCTTTCCCGTCGCCCGGATCCGCCGGATCGCCAAGCTCGACCCGGAGGTCAAGACGCTGTCGCGGGAGGCCCTCCAGCTGGTCGCCCGGGCCGCCGAGCTGGCCCTGGCCAGGCTCGGGACCGAGTGCGTCCGCGTCGCCCGGATGCAGAACCGCCGGACCCTCCTCCCGGACGACGTGGCCGACGTCTGCACCCACCGGGAGGCCTTTCACTTTCTGAGGGAGGACATCCGGGACCTGGCGGCGGCCCAGCAAAAGGGGAGCGGAAAGGCCGAGGCCGCGGCCGCGGCGGGCCGGGCGGAAAAGGCCAAGAGGGAGGCCGCGGCGGGGACCAAGCCGCTGACCTCGTACTTTGGGGTGGCGGGGGGGACCGGCGGGTAGCAACGGACCCCGCATCGAATCGAAACGAATCGAATCGAATCGAACCGGAACGGCAGGGAAGCCTTCCATAGATCGCTCGGCGGGTTGGAACACCCGCCGTGCCGACCGACAAGGAGGGGCAATCGTCGCAGAAACATCACCGGTCGCCTGGATCTCGTTCGCGTCACTCTTATGGCACGAGGAAGACCACAAGGATTCGTTCACCATGCGCAACTACCACAGATGCCATCCCACAAAGCTAAAGCACAAAAGAATACGAAACGCAACCGCAGGACGCATAGATTTCAGATACGACTCTATAGACTTTGCCTAATATATTATTCTTACTAATTTAGAGGTTCTTGTCGTACGAGTACGATGCAAGTAAAATCGCTTGACGGTAGCAGAAAACAGTACGCGGAACCTTGGTCTGCACATTCTATGGGTGGCAGATAATAAACCGTGTGGTGTGTCTCGGTTCTCGTTCGCTGCCCGTTTGATCGCCTGCAGAGGATGGGTGCGAAGCGTGTTCGTGGCATGCCACGCTGTCTGGGGCGTCTCGACAGAGGGGACGCGGCGGGCTGTGGCGGTCACCGGACCGGAATGGAATCGAATCGGCAACGCGGACCCGTGGTTCCCCGCTGGCAGCAGCCCCGACCACCGCGGCGTCCTTGTCGCCGAGCTAGGTGCGCCGGAGGGTGGGAGCGATCTGTCGTGCCCCGTCGCCGTCCGTGTAGTCTCCCCCCAGGGTGCAGCGCACGCAAACGTTCTTCAGGGTGGCACAGTCGCGGGCCGAGAGCGGTCGGCCGTCCCACTTGTCCTGCAGCAGGGTCCGGCACGCAAAGGCCCCGGGGAGTTCGGCGTCGTTGTTGCGCTCGGGGATCAGCTCGTAGCTGATTCCGCGGCAGAGCATGCAAGGCGCCGTCGTCTGGATGTCGCCGGGAACGGATCCGCCGAGGGAATTTTGGTCAAATGTCAGCGTGTGGAGCTTTTCCAGCGACAGAACGCTGAAGGGGATATCGCCGGTAAACGAATTCCCTTCCAGCAGGAGTTCCCTGAGGTTCGTGAGAAGCCCGAGCTCGGTCGGTATCGTGCCGTCCAGGTCATTTTCGGCCAGATCCAGCACGGTCAGTGACATCATTAATCCGATTTCCGTCGGTATGGATCCCGTCAACCGATTGTCGTCCAATCGAAGCTCCTCCAGAATGGTGAGCTCGCCAATCTCTGGTGGAATGGTGCCCTTGATTACATTATTTGAAAGCCAAAGAACTTTCATGGTATCCTTCGTGAGCTGTATCTCATTCGGAATAGTGCCGCCGATTCTGTTGTTGGCCAGGGTGAGTCGTTCGATTTTTCCCAACTTGCCTATCTCGCTAGGAATGGAGCCGGTGAGATTATTGCCAACTATGAAAGAAACAAGAAGGAAGGATGGATTCGACAATATTAGCATTTTCCAAATAAATAGGAAATGAAACATCTCAATGGGTCTTACTTACCGACTCCTAACATCACCAAGTTTTTCAAGTTTCCTATTTCTGTCGGGATGCTCCCAGTAAGCTGATTGTAAACTTTGATAAATTAAATCATGGAAGACAAGATGAGATTTGATTTAACTTCATCGTACGCGGTAATGAAATCCAACCTCACCCGCGAGATTGGATGATCCTATAGATGACTTACTCAAATCGTACTCTCTCACACTCATCATGAGACCGAATTCCGTCGGGATGGAACCAGTAAGCTTATTTTTATCCAAATCGAGTTCGAGCATGTTAACAAAGTTACCAAACTCAGTCGGAATAGACCCCGTCAAAACATTGTCATCGATATCGAGTCGCTTTAAATTGGTCAAGAGACCCAACTCCGACGGTATGGTGCCCTTGAGACCATCGCCGTCTGAAGAAGTGCATCGTTTTATTTCGAAAGGGAAGAAAGAATTGCAATTAACAACAACATACAAACCACAACAGAATGGACGGAATGGATCAAATGAGAATGGAAACTCCATTAAGAAAAGTAAAAACAAAATTCTTACGGTACGCACCATAATCCAACCGGCGTAACCCAGTCAACAATCCAATGGTCGTTGGAATGGTTCCATCTAAATTCTTCCCGCGGATCATCAGTGTCTCGACCGATCCTACGTCACAGGCAATATTTTCCCAGCGACACTGCTGCTGCTCCGCAACAATCCAGAAGGGACTTGTGTCTGTGCTTTCCACATCGTTGGAATCGGTGTTTATAATTGGGGCCGCAAAATTCAAGGAAGCAAGGGCAAACCGCTCAATCAAAAATCCATCCTCGCACCATGCAGATCCGTCGTTGGACAGCCACGACAGTGCGTAAGACGAATGGTCATCAGAAACGTAAGCCGTCGAAAGATTGATTAAGTTTTCAAATGTATCGAAGTAGCAATTGGGGACTCGGTTAAAATTGATGGTATCAACGTCATAGCTATGTGCGGAAACGATTTCGTTGGTGGTGGTATTTCCGTGATAAACGGTATAGTCGACCCACCAGATGGCCTCGTTGTCCCAATTTTTGAAAAAGCCGGTCGAATTGTCGATACTGATCCTGCACCTAGCTCCATCCTCAACCATGATGGTTTCCGACGAGTTCTCCATCTTTTTGTCGACATAAATCGACAGGATAGTGATACCGTCACAATTCACTATCATAAGGGGTGTCACCGGTTCTTCCGTCCAGAAATCAGTTCCCTTTTCCCGTTCATGCTCGGCCAATTGGTCTGCTGTCACATTTAGCAGGTCTGGATTGCGACTGCTTGTAATGGAATTGAGATGGATTGTCACAGGTTCCATGCGAGGGTTACGGCAATTGGCATATCCATCTCCGGATTCTACTTGCGCACCAAAGGCATCGGTGATGCCGCCTGTTCCACAGTTCGACTTGTCACATGTGGAGGCGCAGCAGTCTCCTCCGTCATACTGATAGTCCGGAGTGTTGAAAAACAAGTCGCAGTTTCCATCGTTCAAAAAGGAAGAGCAGTGTTTCTCCAAGTCCTTTCCCATGTTCTCTGTCTCGAAAAAGTATAGATCGAGTGGCGTTCCCGACGCCGAATACCACAAGGCATCAAAGACAGTTGAAACGTCGAAAGTTTCGGTTTTACTAGAATGGGCCAGTTCTCTCTCACGTGGTACATCGCAAGGGTCGCATGTGCCTTCCAAATCACAGCCACTTTGGCCCTCGTTCTTGAACAGTTTCCAGTGTCGATGTTGCTTGCAATACCCAATAGCCCCCGGTGCCAAATTTTCTGTGAACCCCAGGTAGTTCCGGCGTTTGTAGTAGTTGACTCCTTTTACCATGCCATAGCAACCGCTATATTTGTGAAGGCCGGTTGATTCCTTGAATTGCACCCGCATCGTTTTTGTCACCCAGAAATGTGTACTTTCCTGGCCGAAAATGACCGCACCAACTGAAAGCAAGAGACAAAAGGTGATCGGAAAAACCGTAAACAAATAACGAACATGATTGTGCTTCCGGTAGATGCAATAAGGAATCGGTCGTCGCTCAATGGATTTGGTCTCGATCTCCAATTGGGGACCGTACTTGCCGTACTTAGCCAATTCAAATGCCGCCTCATCCAGGGTTGAAATGTAGTTCACAGCGGCAAAATTCAGGATGATATCAATGACATCATCCGAGGTTATGATAAGCAAAAAGGTAGCAAAAATGGCCAGAAATCCTGAGATGAACCGCAGGACACAAGAAAAAATCGCCATCCAAACTTTGTCCTCCTTGTTGGCCCGACCCAAGCGGGGAAAGTACTCCACAGCCATAACACAATCCTTGAGGGAAGAATCGGCAAAGATGCAATAGCTCAGAATCGCCGTGAACTGAGTCGCTCTCACCAACTCCGTCACATTTGAGGGAATAAAGGACGCAATGATACCGTTGGACGGATTGTCGATCTCCCCTTGGATGGTAAAATCTGGCGCCACTTGGCTAATCACCATGTAGCTCAAAAATAGAACCTGGAAGCAAAATACCATGAATCCGAAAAAGAAAAAGAACGGTTTTTCAAAGGGACTGTGGATGGCCATCACAGAATAACAATCGGCCGGGTATGTCTCGACTTTTCCCAAAGACGATTTTAGAGAAAAGAGGGAGTCCGCTGACATTCTGCTCGCATTTCGGATATCTTCTTTGATTTTCTTCCGGATACATTCGTTGCGGTCTTCCTCTGCCATGTAGTTATTGGTGTTTGTGAACAATTTAGATACATCCTCGTCCTTGATGTTGGAGCCGTCTTGAGGTATTTTTTCTTCGCAGCGAAGCTTCGCTTGGTTGTAGCGACTGTCACTTCCTACTTCTACACGCTCTTCGTCGATAAATTGATCTCCAAAGATCACCGAAAAATTTTTGGAGACCGGTTTCTGCCTTTTGGACTCCATAGAATAGATCATGTCCGTATTATTCGTAGAATCGACTTTCGACTCGACGCTCTGGTTACCAGTTTGAGTTGTGTCGTTTGAATTGATCGTAGATGCCATGGTAACTGTTTGCCGGTGCTTGGTGTGCTTATTTGTGTATTGTTTTACTTTCTGTCGCATTCGCGTGAAGCGGTCCATCTGCCAAAAAAATGACGGGAGAAAACATTTTTCAGGCTCTAATCCCAAAAGGCTTTACCGTGTTCAACACGCGATAATAGTCGTAATAGTAGTAGGAGTGATTAACCATCAACAACCAACGCTTGTTTTTAAAAAAAAACGTTGTCACGCGGCCGTTTTGCTGGTGGCTGTAGCGTCCCGTTGGACTAGTAGAATGGACTAGTAGACTCGCGACAACACTTCCTGAAGTATCGTGGTACTTAAAACGAAAACTGTGTCGTACGTGACAAGGTGCTTTCGTTATCATACGTCATTACGAAGATTCCTATCAAACAAGCGAGGACAGAGGAGAATATGGTAATGCTTCCTACATTCCTCCCTTCGAGAACAGCAATGACGAATACGACGCTATTGCTAGAAAGTAATAGAGCTACTAGGTACGATACGGCCACTAAGTAAGGGCCCCATAACGGCAAATTATTGGCAATTTCCGTACGTCAATTTTTTCTCATTTTCCCGTCTCTATTTCCCCTCTCCCCCCATCCACACAAAAAAAAACGTACAAAAATATTTCTATTCCTGGTCCTTACTAGTGTGAATATCAAATCAGTGCTTATCTTGAATATTATGGACCACCAATAGAAATAATTTGGGACTAGCAAGAAATTAAACAATGGAAATATTTTTTATTTCTGTCCATTGGATGCCTTTTTTAACTGGTTTTTAACCTGTAAAAATGAGCTAAAGATTTCTATTAGTAGTATTTGTACAGGTATTGCCAATAACTTGCCATTATGGGCCCGTACTTAGTAGCTCTAGATAGTAAATGATAAATATCATCCAAAGAATGGTGTTGCAACAGATATGTGATATATCTGTGGAGGAACTCGTGTAGCGCATGTAACCAAATTGTAACCAGAATTTTGTACCTTGTCTGGTCGTGTTATTATAACGGAAATACTGTGCGCTTGAGAGCTATAGCTTGAGAGCACACAGTACAAATTTCTGTGATAATAACAGGACAGGATAAGGTACAAAATTCTGGTTACAATTTGGTTACACCAGTAACCTCACTGAGATTGAGAGCTTTAGCTCGGGATTGAAGTGAGGTTACTGCAACAAGTACTATCTTCAGCAACACCACCAACAAGCTCGAGAGCTATTTTTTCACTCCAAATTGAGCCAAGAACTGCTTGAATGGGGTTCCAATTAATTCTTTACCATTGTCATGAACACATCCTCTGTTGGGGGGTCTTGTTGGGTATCAGGCCAACCAGCAATTTGCAAACTGTTCAGCCACGTGTTCATTTGATTTGTTGGTTATTCTGATGATTTCCAATAGGTGGTGAACGGATCAATGCAAGTGAGGGCAATAATTACCAACTCAGTTTCATCTGGGAGGAGTATTTTCCATGGATCAATCAGGTCAACACAGACCTCATTCCAGGACATGAGCTGAGTTTCTTCTCTTGGGGGGAGTTGACCATATCCTTGGCCTTGTTGTTTGAATTGGTGGCACTTTTGAGGGCATTTATATTCCTTGCATTTTTTGCTAAGTCTGGGGGTATAAAACCTAGCGCTTACTGTTTCTTAAAGTCTTGTTGTTCCACAGTGTCCCAGGAGTAGGTGGTGATACCACCGAGGGTCCTGTCCACAAGACCATTGGGCAAATAAATCTTCCAACTGCTATTGCCATCTGTGGAATTCTTTTGTTCAGTAGGTGTTGCAGTGAGTAATTCAAAGGTTCCTGTCTTTCTTTTCACATAGTTCTTGGTGGGGTTTGACTGATGTTGTAGTTGACACTGGGGATCCATGAGCTGATGAACATAGATGGATTTGTCACTCATTAAAGGATTATCCATTTCCAAGACTGGAGGTAGGTTAAGTAGGCATTCATATAGTTCTGGTTCCAAGTAAAAGACATCTCCCAAGGAAAAGGTGTCTTTGGGATCAACTGGGGCTTTCAATTTACCACAGTTCCTTTCTTTTGCTCATACATTTTCTTTTCCTTATCCTTGACAGTGCACAGATCCATTCTGGGCACTTGAGAAAAAACAGTCTGCAAGCACATTGTGTTTGCCAGGGATGTAAACCCAATTAAGGTCAAAGCCTTCAATGGACAGTTTCCATCAGAGCACCTGGGGTTGAGAAAGGGTCCTGAAGATAAGAAGCATCTTATGATCCATGCATATGTATATTTAGCCACCATATAACATATTCCAGTATTCTTTAAGGCAAATGATCACAGCCAAAAGTTCCTTTTCCATTGTGATGTAGTTTTTTTGGGTTTTATTTAATTTCTTAGACCAATAGGCAATGGGTCTCTGCTTTTGAAGAATTGCAGCTCTGAGCTGGTAGTCAGAGGCATCTGTGTAAATGTCAAAGGGGGGCTCCAAATCAGCAAAGGTGTTGGATTGATACAGATTCTCCCTCACTAGGAAAAAAAACTTAATAAGATTACTTACTAACCTCATGAACTAGAAGAGGCACTACTATATGGCCGGAACCATGACTTCTCCAGACTAGGGAGAAGACTAGTCCCAGCTGCTCCAAGGGGTGACACCTCCCTCCATGGAGGTTTTGTGGAGGGGCAACCAAGTTCTTGTTGGAAGACCCACTGTGAGTTTTGTGGACCCAAGAATTCCAAACTTTGGTAGGACCAGAGTTTCCAAATCAAGTGTCACCATTACTTTCATAACTGGATCCAATGTGTATGGTGAAGCAATTCCCCACACTTGCAGTTCAGAACCAGAGCCAAGACTGATGAAAAGAAGAAACTGAAAATCAAGGCACTTTTGCACTGCTGCAAGAAGATAAGAGGGAGAGGAGTTTCCTTTGTTTTTCATGAATGGTCCATCAAAGAGAATTGCACAACTTTATCAGTTTCAGTTGGTATAAATGAGAGAGGCGGTGTGGATGATGAATACTAGTTCTTGTTGTATCTTTTCAATAGCATTCTTCCTTTGTATCTAGATGCAGTAGACACCTGCAGCAAGGGAGTGATGATCATAATTGATTCTGGTCCAGGATGTTTGAATGTTGGCATGTTGGCAAAGCTTTGTGTACATGGCTTCATTCCATATCCCTGTTTACCAAATACAATGGCAGTGACTCCAAAAACTGACCAATCCAATGGGTTATTTAAGAAAAAAATACAGACAGAACCTGTAGAAACTCACTGAAGAATGTTTGACAAGGAAGAATGAATCAACATCCTTTCACCCATCCATAGTTGGTTTGCTTGTGTTTAGAGGCACTGCCTGCATAACTGGATACAATAACTTTGTTGACAGCTTCTCTATTGCATTTTCTTGCAAGAAGAATCTTGAGGCCTGGTGGCAAGTTGGTGCTGCTCCATTACATTGGAACATAGCATTTTGCTGCTTGGATCAGAGAATCAACTATGACAGGATGAGGCTGCAGCAAAAAGCCTCAAAGGACATAATTAAAAGCATGTCACAGGATGAAAAAGAAAAGTTCACAAAGGAGTGTGAGGATGGAGAATAAAAAATAAACCATATAGAGATCAACATTCTCCAGTATGGTTGTCTTGCATCAACTGTTGCTGTGGTAGCATATGGTGTATTTTTCACATTTCCTTAGTACTAGTACTAGTAATATTCCCACCATCTGTTGGAACTCCTCAACCAACAAGAGTTGCCCAATAGCAGCTCTTTGCTCTGTTGTACCGCTCAACCTGATAGTCCTCTTTTGATTTGTCAACTCAGAATTGACCTGGGAACTCAGCTTCCTATGGATTTGGATTTCACTAGTAGTGATTTGGTCCCATTCCATCAACTGCAGAGGCCTAAAACCTGCCTTTCACCATACTTCTCAACCAGAAATGGCCCAATATCAGTTCTTTGTCCTATACATCCCAACCTGATTGTCCTATTTTGGACGTTCTTGTTGCTAGTACTTACTTCAATTACACCATTTCTTGCCCCTCCCCCTTCCAGTCTCCTGTGCATAACTTCTCAACCAAAAGTCACCTGAAAGCAGCACTTCTTGGTTCTGCACACCCCAATCTGATAGTGCCCTTGAAAATTCTGCCACTCAGTTTGGCCCAGTAGTAGTATTAAAAGGCGTTATGGTGTGTTGTTGTTCTTCCAAAAATCCTTGCTGCTCCAAAGGCCCTATTTTGAAAATTTCTGTCACACCAACAACAGCTCCTAAAGCAAAGCCAACAGGGAGGCTCGCCGATAGGGTACAGAGGAGGATGCTGATAGGAGGCTTGCTGCTGATAGAAGTACATAGGATGCTGAAACGAGTCGCTGCTGATACGTAGGCTCATCAATGATACAAAGAAGGATGCTGGTAGGGAGGCCCGCTAGCTTATACAAGTCGCTGCTGATACAGAGGATGAATTGCTTCTGATACGGAGGATGCTGATGCTGCCTAGTATACAGAGGATTGCTGATACAGAGGATGATAAGACAGGGGACAAGAAATACGGGGGAGGATCCAGGGAGGGATAAGAGCCCATTCCCTTATATTGGAGGAGGATCCAGGTAGGGATAAGAGCCCATTCCCCTATATTGGAGGTGGCAGAAAAGGAGCCTCCTATAGGAAAATTACTAGCTCACTTGCCTCGGAGTCAGTTTTGGTGGCGGGTGCTTGTCCCTATTCGGCTAAGTGGTTCTATTGTTCAATTATGCACTTAACCATGTGTCGCTTCAAGGCAGCATTGATACATTCCATTTACCATATGTACAGTATGCATGGTAGATAGATAGCTATGATGGGAGTACCAGTATGTAGTTTGAATCAATATAAGCAGGTCTACCCCCGGATAAGAAATAAATATTTACGTGTAGAACTGTACAGGGCCTGGGTGTTTTGCATCTTTTTTCCATTTTTGATTGGTTTGCTGATCTATTTTCAACCGTTAGTGACATCAGCAATTA